AGCCATGAGAAAAATTTCCAGTTCTTCATTAAAGCAGAGCGCCCCTACTCAGGAGGCGGCGTGGAGGACCTGAGCCCCGAGCTGAGTTGCCCCATGTGCCTGGCAACGTAGGAGACTTGTTTCAAAACAAAACAGAAGTGAAGCAGAATGGCCTCTATAGAGACCTTCTCTTTACAAGCCTGCTGTTTTTCCTTTGTCTCTGGTGTAGGTATGACATCTGAAGCTGTGCAGCGCAAGTGGGAAGCAGTGGAAGACATCTATCAGTTTCTGTGCAATGCCAGCGAGAGGGAGGTGGCCGCTTTCTCCAGCGGTACTCGCGGACCATGAGAGGCCTACGCGGCCTGCAGCACTGGACCATCCGGGGCCCGAGCCAGCCTGGCTCAGCTGGTGAGCGCCTGCGGCAGCACCGCAGAAATGATGTCGTGGAGAAGATTCGTGGCCTGATGGAAGATACCACCCAGGTAATTAAGCAGCCTGCTCGCATGTCTTTACACTACCTGTCCCTGTGCTTAGATTTCACCAGGTATCATGGAGAACAAGGAAAAATAACTGATATGAAGCATCTAGGCAACCGCACAACACACCCTGCCTTCCCGGACAGTGGTTCTCAGGGTTGTCATTAGGATCATCTACGGATCCAGAGCTGTGGTCCCAAACCCCAGGCTGTGGACTGGTACTGGTCGTGGACTGTTAGGAGCTGGGCTGCCTGCCCCTGCCTGAGCTCTCCCCTTTATCCCCCACCTGGTCACATGGAAAATTCTCTTCCATGAAACTTAGAAGCGTGGCAGGTGGCACGCAGGAGGTGAGCATGGCAGGCAAAGCTTTGAGGCTTCAATCTGTTGCCCCCCCAAGCTGCCCCCGTTGCTCGCATCACGACTGAGCTTGCCTACCCCACCCTGAAAATTGTCTTCATGAAACACCCCTGGTCAAAAAGTTGGGACCTCTGATTCTAGGGAACGTTTTAAAAAATTCTGATTCTTGGGCCCTCCTCCTCCACCTCCTACTGCAGACCAGCCAATCAGAATCTCCAGGGGAAGGACTATGAATCAGTACTTGTAAAAGCTCTCCCAAGTGATTCAATGGCAAAGTTGAGAATGTTGTCTTGGGTAATTTATTTAATGTTATCAGGCTGTCACCCATATCTATTTGTTACTAATTTACAATCTCATTTTGTGTAATGTTTTTTTTTCTTTCTCATTGTACCTTCCTCGCACGTGAATACATTTTGAACAAGATTTGAACCAAGAAAAAAGATTTTATTTTTTTTCTATACCCTCCTCCTCAGAGGATGTTTTGCGAGGTGGCTTAGGAAGGCTCCATCCTGGCCGGGTGCGGTGGCTCAGCCTGTAATCCTAGCACTCGGGAGGCCGAGGCGGGCGGATGCTTGAGGTCAGATTCAAACAGCCTGAGCAAGAGCGAGACCCCCATCTCTACTATAAATAGAAAGAAATTAATGGCCAACTAATATATAGAAAAAATAGCCAGGCATGGTCGCATGCCTGTAGTCCAGCTACTTGGGAGGCTGAGGCAGCGATTGTGAGCCCAGGAGTTGAGAGTTGCTGTGAGCTAGGCTGACGCACGGCACTCACTCAGCCTGGGCAACAAGCGAGACTCTGTCTCAAAAAAAAAAAGAAAAAGAAAGGCTCTCTACCTCCTGAGCATGCATGCAGGTGGTGGTGGCAGCAGTTGGTGGCAGGATTGATCCTCTTCTTTGGGTCGTTCAATCTGTACATCGGGTGGAACAGGGAGACTGAGGAGTGATGGTTTGTGTAGTGAATGAGCCCTGCTTGGAGCCAAGCAGCACTAAGATTTGAATCCCGGCTCTGACATTACTGGCTGGGTGACCAAGGCTAAGTTACTTCAACCTTCTCTGCCTCGGTTATTTGCATTTAAGCTAGTTTTATCAAGGAATTAAGACTGAAATAAAGCATATAAAATGCCCGACTCATTGGAGTGCTCTACAAATGGAAGTTCAGTCATGAGGTAGCTCATTGTACTAGCTGTCTTTAATCATAATGGATTTCCTAAAAGACGTGAATTAAGTATAGATTTGGGTATTTCCCACAGATTCAATTAAGGTTTTAGAAATATTCCAAAGTAAGAATGTCGCCTGCTAAGAATTGATAAAGTGTAGTAATGGCATAATTTGTGGCATTCTACTTTTTTTTTAAAGTTTTTATTTTTTGTGGCATTCTACTTTATAGCTGACAAGAAAGCAGCCTTCTACTAGGAACTTATTTTTTTAAAACAATTTTCAGGGCATGAATTCAGGGTGTCTATACAGTCATCCGAATCACCGGCCTCGATCAGTTTGTATGGCAGAGCGAGGAACCACAAAGTCCTCCATTTTCAGAGAAATGTCTGTAATTATTATTGTTCTTTTATTAGGCAAAAATTGATAGCTCATTTTATAAATACTTTTCCCAACAACTGATTGGAGCAAAAAAGGTTTTTTTTTTTTCCTTCCTGATTAATCTCTAGTTAATTAAAAAATCATAATAGTAAGTTTCTCTTTATTCTCCCATTTTTCTTTCTTCCCTAAATCTCACTTGGGAACTTGACCCCATTTTTTTAATAGTAAATATTTTTTAAGAAAGACATTGTCCACTATAACCACTCTGGCATCGGGGCGCGTGAGTATGGCCTCAGCCAGAGACATGATATTGATTCAGAGGGCCAACTCACCTGTTGTAAAATACTAGAGCCCTTGCCAGGAGAGTTATATATGCACCCCACGTATAAATGGCGGTAAAGCCACTGTGTAACTGTGGAGAGAAGATGCAGGAAAGAGGGAGACACCAAAGCATGCTACTCAGGAAGAGTCTCACCTGAGGATTTGGTGCCAGGTGCTTATCTGGAGGTTTTGGATCCTAACATTTGTTTTTGGCATTTCACCCAAATCATTAGATTTGGGGATCACAGATACACACTCACTGAGATTACAAGTGACTGATGAGGCACAATGACAATCTGTTATATTATTGGGGGCAGATATCTGAGAGAATAAGCAGCCATGGTTGTTTGCTCAAGGTTTTTCCTTCCTCTTGGAAGGTAGCATCCAGTAACATGTAATAGTGGTTACACACACAGAATTTGGAATAGCCAACTGGTGAGTTGGGTTCAATACCCAACCCACCTTCCTTTTTGACATCAGGCCAGCAGCCTAAGTTTTCTAAGTGTTTTTTTTTTTTTCCTCCCCTCTCTTACCTGTGTAATTGGAATGTTAATGCCTTATAAAGATGTTCAAAGAACTAGCACCTTAATATAATACCAGGAAGACAATAGCTACTGTTATTACACTGTCATTTTGACTGTTGTCTTCATTGTAACCATGCAAGTCAGTTTAGAAGACTGAATAATGGATCATAAAATTACTTGCTGAGCATAAAGTAGGGCACAAGAAGATATGTGTTCTTAAGGAATACCTCTATTGGGCCCAAAAGCAGGGTGTGTCAGTTGACATAAAGGACATCATTCCCAGAATCAGGACACCCTGTACCTAGACAGTGCTGGTTACGTTTTAATTTGTAGCTTCCCTTTTTCTAAATTATATAAAGTCACCACTTTTTTTTTTTTTAGTCTGGGGGCCTCTAACTTATTTGGTTGCATTTAGAACAGTAGTTTCCCCACCTTTAGTTTCACTCTTCACCATTTTAGTTACCCTCGGTGAACTGTGGTCCAAAAATATTAGATGAAAAATTCCAGAAACAAGTAGTTCGTAAGTCTTAAATTGCACACCTTTTTGAGTGTTGTAATAAAATCTTGAGCCGTCCCACTCTGTCCCGTCTGGGATGTGAATCCTCCCTTTGTGCAATGGATCCACGCTGTAGACGCTCACGCCCACTGGTCACTCAGTAGCCGTCTGGACTGTCAGATGGACGGCCTAGGTATCACAGTGCTTGCATTCGAGTAACCTTTATTTTCCTTAATAATGGCCCCAAAGCACAAGAGCAGTGATGCTGACAATTTGAATATTGCCAAAGAGAAGCTGTAAAGTGCTTCCTTTAGGTGAAAGGGTGAAAGGTCTGGACTTAAAAAAAATCAGTCGGGCAGGCGTGGTGGCTCACGCCTATAATCCTAGCACTTCTAGGAGGCCGAGGTAGGCGGATTGCTCAAGGTCAGGAGTTCAAAACCAGCCCGAGCAAGAGCGAGACCCCGTCTCTACTATAAATACAAAGAAATTGATTGGCCAACTAATATATATAGAAAAAATTAGCCGGGCATGGTGGCGCATGCCTGTAGTCCCAGCTACTTGGGAGGCTGAGGCAGAAGGATCGCTTGAGCCCAGGAGTTTGAGGTTGCTGTGAGCTATGCTGACGCCACGGCACTCACTCTAGCCTGGGCAACAAAGCGAGACTCTGAAAAAAAAAAAAAAAAAAGAATTAAAAAAAAAATCAAATGTTGAGGTTGCTGAGATCTATGATAAGAATGAATCTTTTATCCATGAAATTGTGAAGAAGGAAAAAGAAATTCATGCACAGTATACATAGGGTTCGGGACCAGTCTGCCATTTCAGGCATCCAATGGGGTCTTGGAACTTATCACCCATGGCTAAGGGGAGGTCACTGTAGGAACAAAGGAATCACTGTGAATACCTTGTTTGGGTTTGCCTTTCAGAACACCTTTTGGGGGTGATGCATTCTATTAATAATCCCATGATTGCTTGTTCTTGTTCCGCATTCAGGAAGTGAAATTTGCATGAGGGCACCCAACTAGTCCCTAGGATGGGCTGAGTGTGCCAAGTGCTTATGAAAGGCATTCCTTTGACATATAGCCATGAGAAAATTTCTTCCAGTTCGTTCATTAAAGCAGAGCGGCCCCGCTACTCAGGAGGCTGACGTGGGAGGAACTCTGAGCCCACGAGCTGAGTTGCCCCATGTGCCTGGGCAACATAGCGAGACCTTGTTTCAAAAACAAAACAGAAGTGAAGCAGAATGGCCTTCTATAGAGACCTTCTCTTTTACAAGCCTGTCTTTGTTTTTCCTTTGTCTCTGGTGTAGGTATTGACATCTTGAAGCTTGTAGCAGCGCAAGTGGGAAGCCAGTGGAAGGATATCTATCAGTTTCTGTGCAATGCCAGCGAGAGGGAGGTGGCCGCTTTCTCCAGCGGGTACTCGGCGGACCATGAGAGGGCCTACGCGGCCCTGCAGCACTGGACCATCCGGGGCCCCGAGGCCAGCCTGGCTCAGCTGGTGAGCGCCCTGCGGCAGCACCGCAGAAATGATGTCGTGGAGAAGATTCGAGGGCTGATGGAAGATACCACCCAGGTAATTAATGCAGCCCTGCTCGCATGTCTTTACCACCTACCTGTTGTCCCTGTGCTTCAGATTTCACCAGGTATATGGAAACAAGGAAAAAAAACTGATATTAAGCATCTAGGCACACGCACAAACACACCCTGCCTTCTCGGACAGTGGTTCTCAGTGGTTGTCCATTAGGATCATCTACGGATCCAGAGCTGTGGTCCCCAAACCCCAGGCTGTGGACTGGTACTGGTCTGTGGACTGTTAGGAGCTGGGCTGCCACGCCGCCTGCCTGAGCTCTGCCCCTCTATCCCCCACCCTGGTCCATGGAAAAATTCTCTTCCATGAAACTTAGGAAGCGGTGGCAGGTGGCACAGCAGGAGGTGAGCAGTGGGCGAGGGCAAAGCTTTGAGGCTTCATCTGTCGCCCCCCCAAGCTGCTCCCCATCGCTCGCATCACCGACTGAGCTTGCCTACCCCCACCCCTGGAAAAATTGTCTTCCATGAAACCAGCCCCTGGTGCCAAAAAGGTTGGGGACCTTTGATTCTAGGGAACATTTTAAAAATTCTGATTCTTGGGGCCCTCCTCCTCCACCCCCTACTGCAGACCAGCCAAATCAGAATCTCCAGGGGAAGGACTATGAATCAGTACTTGTAAAAGCTCTCCCAAGTGATTTCAATGTGCAAAGTTGAGAATGATTGTCTTTGGGGTAAATTCTATTAATTGTTATCAGGCTGTGCACCCATATCTATTTGTTACCTAATTTACAATCTCATTTTGTGTAATTGTTTTTTTTTTCTTTTCATTGTACCTTCCTCGGCACGTGTAATACATTTTGAACAAGATTTTGAACCAAGAAAAAAGATTTTTTTTTTTTTCTATACCCTTCCCTCCTCCAGAGGATGTTTTTTGCGAGGTGGCTTAGGAAGGCTCCATCTTGGCCGGGTGCGGTGGCTCACGCCTGTAATCCTAGCACTCTGGGAGGCCGAGGCGGGCGGATTGCTTGAGGTCAGAGTTCAAAACCAGCCTGAGCAAGAGCGAGACCCATCTCTACTATAAATAGAAAGAATTAATGGCCAACTAATATATATAGAAAAAATGAGCCAGGCATGGTGGTGCATGCCTGTAGTCCTAGCTACTTGGGAGGCTGAGGCAGGAGGATTGGTTGAGCCCAGGAGTTTGAGGTTGCTGTGAGCTAGGCTGACGCCACGGCACTCACTCTAGCCTGGGCAACAAGCGAGACTCTGTCTCAAAAAAAAAAAAAAAAAGAAAGGCTCCATCTTACCTCCTGAGCATGCATGCAGGTGGTGGTGGCAGCAGTTGGTGGCAGGATTGATCCTCTTCTTTGGGTCGTTCAATCCTGTACATCAGGTGGGAACAGGGAGACTGAGGAGTGTGGTTTGTGTGTAGTGAATGAGCCCTGGCTTTGGAGCCAAGCAGCACTAGATTTGAATCCCGGCTCTGACACTTACTGGCTGGGTGACCAAGGCTAAGTTACTTCAACCTTCTCTGCCTCTGTTATTTGCATTTGTAAGCCTAGTTTTATCAGATGAATTAAGACTGGAAATAAAGCATATAAAATGCCCGACTCATTGGAGGTGCTCTACAAATGGAAGTTCAGATCATGAGGTAGCTCATTGTACTTAGCCTGTCTTTAATCATAATGGATTTCCCTAAAAGACCGTGAATTAAGTATATAGATTTGGGTATTTCCCACAGACCTCAATTAAGGTTTTAGAAAGTATTCCCAAAGTAAAGAAAGTGCCGCTAAGACTTGATAAAACCCACTCAAGATTTAAAGGGCCATTTTGTCTGTGTTATTATTCTAGCGGTCCAAACTCATTACCTGAAAAAGCTCGGTAGAGTTTTGTTTTTGTTTTTTTTATCATATGAACTCAATTTACTATATCATTCTGTACCAAATTTTATATATCAAGGAACTCAATTTTATATACTTGATACTTATACTTAAGTATACTTTATATACTTAAAAAGTCCGAATGCTTTTATGTTTTATACTGACAGTGCAATACTTATTCACTATTGAAGCAAGCATTCTTCAGGTGGCTCTCTGATCCATGTAACGGTTTGGATAAAAATTTATGGGTGCTAATTGACTTTGAAGGTGGTCTTTAAGCTCTTGGCATATTTTCTAACTTCTTTGAAACGTAGAATTGCAGAAAATAGACCAAGCGGTAAACATTCAAAGGCACACACCAGTCTCTTGTGACTTTCTGAGAAATAATTTCAAAAAAGATTATTCACGACTAAAACTGGGCTTTAAGTAGCTGGATTTTGTGAATGGCAAGGGAGATGTTTACCCTTTAATTAAATAAAATGGCTGCAGTTTGGATAAAGGGAGATTCAGAAGCAAAGCATTTCTGTGCTTTCTTGGAGTGTTGGCTTTTAAGAACTGGTAAGATGAACCACAGACTTGGAGAAGGGTTTAGATATTTGAGAATAAGTCACCTGATCTTGATGATGCCTATAACAAAGGTAACATATGATTGATGCAATGCTAGGATTTGATTAACTCAAATCCATGGTGGGCCCATGGGAAAATAACAGGAGAGTGACTATAAAGGAGAGTGAGTCATATCAAAACCATTAGGACGATGAATAAGAAAACTGAGTATCTTCTTCCCAAGTGCCAAACTCTTGTACACTTTCATTCTTCCCTTCCTCTTATCTCGTCTATAATACAAAAAGATTCTAATAATATCTGTGTTTTTGTTATTTATTTTTTGAGAAACAATGGTGTCAGAGCATTGTGATAGAAGCTGGGATGGCAGCATTAAGCTCCTTGTTCCATGTTTTAATAATGCACATCTTTGTCTAGTCACTTTCTGAATCCAGTTCTGACTCTAACTTAATACCCAGTGAGCATGCATTTCTGACTGCTTGTTCTTAGTACAGGTTGAGTATCACATATGTGAAATGCTTGGGACCAGAAGTGTATCAGATTTTGGATTTCTTTTTGGATTTTGGAATATTTGCATATACATAATAGGACCTCATTAAGGATGGGACCCAAGTCTAAACATGAAATTCATTTATGTTTCAGAAATACCTTGTACACATAGCTTGAAGGTAACTTTATGCAATATTTTAAATAATGTTTTACATGAAACAGAGTTTGTGATAAGTACTTAAATGTAGGGTTTTCCACTTGTGGCATCATGTTGGTGCCTAAAAAGTTTTGCATTTTGGATCTTTGGATGAGGAATGCTTATCCTGTAATCACACTTCATGTCACTGCCTTTCCATAGTTTATCTCTGAGATCTGTCGAGTCAAACAAGAGGATCAGAGGGCAGGGGGAATAAATGAGACTTATTTTTCCCAGTTTATGATAGACTTGAACGACATTCTGTGTATTATGGTACTGCTGGGATTTGGAATTTTGCCTCGAGAGTTAATGGATTCTTAATGTGTAAAAATGACTGTGTTTTTTTTTTTTTTTTTTTAATGGCTAATGTTTTTCCCTATTCATAGCCTGAGAGCACCTATGTTATGTTCCACTCAAAGGATTAGCCCCGATGTGGCTTTTTGTTACCTCTGTCAAGGACAGCTGGTCCATTATTAACCATGGTGGCTCATTAGCCATATTTAAATTAAAGACATCCAGGGTCTGACTCTTTATCTGCGGTATGAGGTGTATTTTCCAGCACTCTTTTCTTTCAAGTTCAACATCTAAGCTGAGACCAGCCTTTCAGAATCCTATCTGTTCTTCCCTTCCAGGGCATGAGCATTTGGAAGAAGCAGCAAAGCAGTGGGAGGATAGTTGGAAGTTACCGGGATTTTGCCAAAGCTATTAAAAAACAAAACCAAATCCTAATACAGCATTCCAAATTGTATGTTACCTCTTTTTCCATCCTTTCACTTTGATTTTTTTTCCTATGTCGTTATTTAAAGTTGTCTCTTTTAAGGAGCATATATTTAAGATTTTTTCTTAAACCTAGTCTGACAGTGTTTGTCATTTAATTAGAGAATTTCAGTGTGTTTATGTTTTTAATGTAACTACTCATATCTTTGAATTTAAATCTGTCATGTTCTTGTTTTTTATTTGTCCTATCTGTTCTCTCTCTCTTTTTTCTCTCTCTCTCTTTCTCCTTTCTTGCCTTCTTTTGGAGTAATCAGGTATTTTTTATTATTCCATTTTCCCTCCTTTATTAGCTTGTTAGTTACACATTTTTTTTACTTTACTTTCAATGGATACCTTAGAGATTATATAACATGTATACTTGAATTATGAGAGACATGTTATAAATGTGTCATTTTTTTTTACAATTTTTCACATAATACAACAACCTTAGAAGACTTTAATCCTATATATCCTCTTAAGTTTTGATTTTGTTATGAATTTCAATGTTATACATCTAATCCCCCTCCCCAAAGGCATATAGTTGTTATGGTTTTACGCAGGATCCAAATAGATTTACCTGCACACTGATCTTTTCCGTTCTTCATACCTGCCTACAGCTTCAACTTCTACCTATGATCATTTTTTTCTTTTGCCTAAATTACACTTCTCAGTGTAGGTTTTCAGCAATAAACTCTGTTTTCCTTTGTCTGGAACATACTCGCTAAATAAATAGCCTTATTTCACCTTAGTTTTTGAAGAATAGCTGGAAAGAAAATTTTTCCTCGCCAGTTATTTTCTTTCGGTCGTTTAATGCCTGGTTTTAAGTTTCCCCTGCTAAACAGCAAAGGAGATGATGTGATTTTATTTTTAAATCTATATTACATAACAAATTCAGGGTGCAATATTATACCAGGCACTTTGGGCAATGCAAAGATGAATAAGACAAAGTCAGTGCCATCAAGGAAGCTGACAGATGAATGGAAGAAACTAACACATACTTATATAATCTAAGGGAGTAAATCCAAGCAGTGAGGAGGAGTGTGCTAGCCCAGCCAGCCAGCCGGTAAGCCTCCCATCAGTATGTCAGTATGGAGCTCTGTGCCAGGTTAAAAATTCTGCCGTGGCAGTATAATCACTTTGGGGACCCTGAGGAAATTATTG